ATTATTTAATTATTTTATTTTATTTTAGCTGCAACCGGTGCAGGTGTACAAGAATTATTCGATAGTTTATTTTCGTCATTGATTGATACAAATGAAAATGGTGGTATTCCACCAACTAATAATTTACCAAATATAAATTTTACTATTGAACAAGTCGAAGCAATTAATCGTTTACGAAATAATAAAGACAATTTTGAACGATTAGGTTTAAGACATAATTGTTCAAAAGAAGATGTTTTAGCAGCTTATAAACGGTTAGCTAAATTATTACATCCAGATAAAAGTGATGCACCTGGAAGTGAAGATGCATTTAAGTTATTACTTAATGCTAAAACAGAATTATTAAATCGATTTGACAAATAAAATGTTTGTGAAACGAAAAAATTATTTTGTGAAGAAATAAACACATAATATAGTACATATATTTTTTTAAAAGATTATTCAATATTCTTTTTTTTGGATATTTCATGTAATGTTCTTATAATCGAATTTGAATTGAACTAATGTGATTCAAGTTGGAGTAAAATAAGTATAGATGTGTAATTCGAGTTTGAATATAAATGAAAAAAAAAAACAACGCTTTCCATGTTCAATAGCAAAAGATAAATTTATTAAACTCAATGACAGACCCATATTAATGCAACAAAACAAACTGAAACATATAGACTGATGTGCATTGAAAATATAATTCTAATGGGAACTACTCTGATCACTGTGTACACAGTGACGAGGATGGGACGCGTAGCGCCTCCACACCGCGACACTGAGATAAAAGATGTATTACACGGGCAATAGGTGTTTTTGTCAGTTCAATACTTCAATGTAAGCGGTGTTGTGTTGGCATCACTTGAAATGTGTGCTTTATTTGCTGCTTCTACAGAAATGTAGCTTCAAATTTATAATTATATAAAATCTATCTTTTGCTATTTGAACAAGGAAGTCCTTTTTTTTTGAAGTGATAGTCGACAGTGAAATGTCCATTTATATTCGAACTCGAATTAGACAACTCATAAGTAAAATAATTGTTGATAGACCGTTCAATATAATGTGTGTTATAGCGGCAGTATTCGTCAGTCTACCGATAATCTACTGTCAGTACATCGGTGGTAGTGCGAACAAACGTGCAGCATGGGAACATAACTGCAAAAAAAAAACGTAAAAATATTAATAATAAATATCAATTCTTATGTCACTCAAGACGAACAAGTCATCTATGGCACATTCTGCATCTCCATAGTTAAATGATTTTGCCTAAATTTAACCATATCAGTACTAGGATCAACAATCCTCAAGTTGAATTCAATGCAATCATGTTGAATTTACATCTGAACATTAGACATTGTGTTAAGTAAGCCATCGCTCAAAATTTCGTTAGAAATTCAATGACAGATGGCGCTATTCTCTTTTATAGAGCAATTTTAAAAACAAGAAAGAATTAAATTTTATTATACAAAATCATATCTGTAAAATAATAGATAATAAATAATTTTTCTTTTTTTGAATTTTACAATTAATATCAATTAATCATTCGTCTATATATTAAACCAAAGAGGTACAATCTAGACAACAAGTATCGGCAGCAGATTTTTCTATTGTATAAATGGTATTAATTGAAAGATATTAATTTTTCAAATCTTAAACGAAAACAAAAATCATGTTTCGTACTCTTCGTAATCATTGGAAAAAGTCTTTATTTGCTTTTTGTGCTTTAACTTATGGTACTAAATGGTCATATGATCGTTATCAAGCAAATCAAATTCGTCAATTTTATTGTCAACAAGCATCTTTATTAGGTTCTCAAAATTTCCCACCAATGACTCGTCTAACTCGTATTGCTGTTTTACTTAATGGTAAAGCAAATAATGGTAAAGCTAAATCAATTTATGATAAAACAATATTTCCATTATTACATTTAATTGGTCTTGATGTACGTGTTTATCGTTTGGATGCAATAACAGATTCAAATGGTTTAAATGAATTATTAACAAATAAAATTGAACCAAATGAATTAAGTGCATTAATGATTATTGGTGGTGATGGAACATTAAGTGAATTAGCACCGTATTTTCTTCAATCAAATACTTTACAAAATTTACCTATTTGTATTGTACCAATAGGTGAATATGTATCATTTGCACGTAGTTTATTTCCATTGACAAATAAAAAAAAAATTCATGATGATATTGTTCTACTTTGTGAATCAGTATTTGCTTTATTTAATGGAAAAATTGTTCAAAAACCTTTATTAAAAATTACAATGTCAAATAATAATGAAAAACCAATGTAAGT